CTGAGCCCTGGCCCTGAGGCACCTTGGCAGGAGATTTAGGAGAGAGAGTGGCCTTTTTGACGTATGAATGACAGCCAGCAGTAGGAAATACAGTCACAGATTACCCTGACTCTCAGGTCCGTGGCTCCAAGGTAGACTGTGAGCTGGGAACACTGCCCTAGTAGCTCATTATATTCTATGAAGCAAGCCTCTCTGCAGTCATGACCCCAGATTCCCCAGCTAAGGCTCTGGCCCCCAGCCTGGGCATTTCCCCTGTGTTCACATCAGGCAGAACTGCCCCAGGCTAATAAGAGTAACCCAGCCCCTGGCTGTTTATTTTTCTTTTAAAAGCAATTTATCAAATAAGCTGTCAGAGAGCAACAGGATGCACAGCTGGCTGAGCTCCTGGGACTCAGTGGTCAGATGGAGCTCTCTGTTCCCTCACCTTTCCCTTGATGCAAACAAGTGGAGTGCAGGGACCCCAGTGTCTAGCAGAAGTCATTTGGCCTGGAGGTTACCAGGCAGGAAGGAGGTAACAAGACATGGTATGGAAGGAGCCTACACATTAGCACAGGGTTTCTGGGCCATGAGAAGGCCAGAGAAGACAGAGAATAAATAAGGATATATTCCTGGTATGGAGTAAACTGGAACCATGAACTTGTGGGTTCAGGTTCATCTCTCAGGAGCCCAGTATGTACAAGGTGAGGGCAATAGCAGATCCTGGGCAAAGAAGGCTGTCTGGTTCAATGAAGGGCAGAGGGATGGATAGGCCTGAGAGGCAGGAAAACTAACAGTAGTTCCACCAGCCACATAACATGAGCCTTTTAGAATTACCATTTTCTTTTGCATTAAATGAGGACAGTAAGGACTCTTGGTGGGGGATATAGTGCTTGCCATAGAAACACAAGGACCTGAGTTCAGATCCCTGGCATCCACAGGAAAAAAAGCCAGGCATGGCTGTATATAGTCTCTATCCCTAGCAGTTGGTGGGGGTGGGTTCACAGAGCTTACTGCTCAGTCAGCCCAGCCTATTGGTGAGCTCCAGATTCACTGAAGGCTCTGTCAAAAATAAAGAGGAGGCACTAGAAGAGATGGCTCAGCAGTTAGAGCACTTGCTCTATTTCCAGAGGACCCAGGTCGATTCCACCCACAGCTCACAACTTTCTGTAACTCCATTTCCAAGTGATCCCATGCTTTCTTCCCTGGCCTCCACAGGCATCAGGCACACATGGGGTGCTCATATATACATGCAGGCAAAAACCAATGCACATAAAATATTTCAATATGTGCTAAAAACACAATCGTGGGGCTGAAAGGATAGCTCAGTAATTAAAATCTATCTTAATTTGTTGCTCTTGCAGAGGACCTGGGTTTGGTCCCCAGCACTCACATGGTGGCTCATAACTATTTTAATTCCACTTCCAAGGGAATCCAACAGGCATGCACATGACGCATATACATGCATCTAGGTAAAACATTCATAAAGTAAATAATTTTTTTTAAAAAATACATCGCAGAGGACTGGAAGAAGACACCCAATGGTGATTTCTGACACCTATACGCACACACATAAACATATAAACATGCACACCTCATACACGTGCACACAAAAAAACTTTACGAATTGACATAGAAGCAAAAACACACATGAAAATCTTTTGGGAAGCATAGTTTAACAAAAAAGATTAAGATATGGCATCCATACTGCCACTTCCTTTTCCTGTGCCCAAGGCAGGCATTACTAATCAATCTCAGCACTTTCTTATCAGCTGTATTACCACATCTGAATTATTCTCACCATATATTCTAAGAAAAACTATACCAACATATCAGAACCGTGAGACCCAGTGAGATGTTTATCCCTTGGCATCACAAGCTGAAAGTGATAATGCCATTATGATGATCCTAGCAGGCCCAGACAAAGCTAGATCCCCAGAGTATAATCCTAGGGTCCTGGTTTAGCTCAGTTACCCAAGGACTCTGTATCAGCTATTAGCTCCCCAAGCAGCCTTAGACTGTTATTAGTCCCCACCCTCCCAAGACTCATGTTCATTGTGGGCTGGGAAAGTGTCAAGCAAAGCAGTGGGCATGCAGGGCATAGGCCAGATGGTCCGTGCTCTCTGTGGTCTGGGACAGGCACTCACTCAGCTGGGCTGTTTGTTTTCAAGGGACTTACCTCCCACTCTCCTGCTTGGCACCCCCAGTTCCTCTTTTGCCTATTTTAGTTTCCTGAGAAAATCTAAGTTCAACTCCCACCATAGCCATGTCAGCCCTGGGGTGCTGCTCCAGCTCATAACCCAGGAAACCCTTTGCCAGGAGGTAGCATGCTACCAAGACCCAGGTTAGTAGAGATGACCTGCTCTCAGCCCAGCTGCCTCCTCCAAGTCTGTCCTCCAGGGAGCAGCTTCTGAAGGAGCCAGCCTCTGTCCCGGCTCTCAGCTGCTTCTTGCAGGGAAAACACTGGCCAGGCAGAAGTAGGGTAGCCCCCAGGGCTGCTCATTGGAGAAGCTGGTCTGAGGCATGCTACCATTCTCCGGCAGGGCCAGCTTGGTTCACAACAGCTACTAGTGGCCCTTTGGCTTGTCAAGAAGCCCTTGCTGTATCAGAAACCTTTCTTACTGGTGCCTCTCATCCCAATCCCAGGGAGAGCTTTATGTGAACCTCCAGAGATAGGCAAAGCATCCCCCAATTTCTGACAGAGCTCCTAAGGATGAATGAGTTCTTCAGAATATAGACTTCTCTCCTTAGGCTTCTGCTAGTACCAGGAACCCAGTATGGCTGGGGAGGCTACAGGGCTCCTCCCTCCTCTTGGAAGCTTAGCTCCCCACTGGGTGTCATGATCACCCCATCTCTTGCCCCAAGGGCAGGTCACCTCCATTCCCCCTGCCCAGACCCTGCACCTCCACAGCAGCAGCAAGGTCATGGGCCCAAGGTCATGGATGTAGACATGGCCTGAACCACACAAAAACTGCATCAAAAAAACAGGAAACCATGAAGCTGACATGCCTTCACTTGCAGGGTCCAGAAGAGAAGAGACTAGAGCCCTGCAGAAGGAAGCTGGGCAGGAAGTGTGTGTCTGTTCTGCTGGGGGCCTCCTCCCCTTTCCACAGAGCAGCCACCAGACAGGGGTCCGACAGTCAAATTCTTAGAAGTCATCTGGGTGACAAAGTCTGAAGCTTAGGGCTGCAGGGACAGGCCAGCCTCCCCCAGGGGACAGGCTATACTCATCCCACAGCTGGTCTGTAGGGTTTTGACTTTGACAGAGGCCCCAAAGCCCTGCCACAAAACAGCTGGCACATCCCCCACTCCAGCCCAGTGCCCCCAAAGCCAAAAGAACAACACGCTCTGTCTAGAGTAACTGTGTGGAGTTTATGGCAACAGATGGAGTAGAAGAGGGGACCCTGGGGACAAAAGAGGAGTCGTGGTTTTGGTGTCCTGGCTACCCCAACACTCCTGTGATGATAGAGCCTCCGGGACCTCCAAGCCCCAGACACAGCTGGCATCCACAGGGGCCTATGCACTCCATCCTTACCGGACAGCTTGTCTGAGTTCCCAGCAGGTAGCTTATTGCTGTGTTCCAGCCTGGACTCTTCTCTTCATTCCCTACTCATCTGTCGCCAGGCAATAAGTAGGTGTCTTCCTGCCTACGGGCCCTGGGTATGAGCTTTCCTACCCAGGCCCAGGTCATCCAAGCCAGTGGAAGCTACAGAAAGACAAATGCTAGCGCTGATATGCGGCTCTTCCAGTGTTCAGGCTACCATCCCACTGGAGGCTGAAGGGTGATTTGCCCAGCCCCAGCCTCACCCCTCCTCACTCTCAGAGATCAGCTGTGCACTTTCTACCTCATGGGGTTGTCCTTTCTTTTCATGCTTTAAAAGCCATCATGAAGGACTCTCCTTGTGTCCCCAGGTCATGCCAGACCCTGGAGATGGTAACCAAGAGTAGTATCAGAACAGGGACAAACTCTTTTAGGTGCCTGCAAGTCACCCTGAAGATCAGTGGTCACAAGTGGAAGGGTCTCTAGGCCCCAGCTGCCCCCTCCCACAAACTAGACCCTGCACCCTCAGGGCCTTAAAGCTAGTGCCTCCAATTCACTTATTGCTGTTTATAGCTGTTGCCACATGCTGTTTTTAATAGCATCTCTTTCTCACTTAGAAGTGGCCCATAGATAGGGCATCATGGAGGTCACCTTTATCATTGCCCCACACTGAACAGTGGGAGTGATGGATGATGAGGGCAAGAAGGAGACCAGTCTCCACTCATCTTTCCCATCATGCCTTTACCACCCTCCATGTATGATGGTTTGGCCTCACGTTGCTCAAGGCACTCATGAGCTCACAGTGGCTCCTGGGAATAACAGGTACTTCCTGTTTCAGAGCCTCTGGCCCCTGAACTCTGTGGATCGCCATACAGGCAATGAGAGCCCAGAGTCACTTCAACTGTTGACAGACAGTTGCTGGTGGATTGCTGGTGGAAGGCTGCTGACGAAGCTCCCCTAGTCAGGCACAGGCAGGCCAAGCTCCAGAGTTCAGGGGATAGAGTTAGGCCAACAGTACATCCTCAGACAAAACAGCAGGCCAGCCACACACTCACAGTGATCAGGAGTCTCTCGTATCGTGTGCCTCTTGCCTGAAAGGGTGGCAAGGTAGTTACCTCATCCCATCTGGGCTGCTGGTTCCCATGAAGAAAGGCTGCTGCCAAGCTGGACATTCAGGATTTCTTAGGTCATTTGGCATCTGTGACTGGTGGTGTGAAGTCAAGTCTCTAAGGAGAACTCGGCATCCCGAGATCTTGAGAACAGCAATGAGCAATCCAGCATCTTCTTCCTGCCCCACCCCACCCCATGTAGCATCCAGAAATGGTAGGGGGAAGATCCATGCATCTTGTAAAGCAGAGTCCAGGCTCAGAGCAGGAGAGAGGAGGCTGGGGTCAATGCCTAAAGGTCTTTTTAAAGGGCCAGCCATAGATCAAATGCACCTGCCCCTAATCCAGGTACCATTGTCCATGGTCCCCCAGCTGGTTTAGATGACTTCAGAGTTAGGGGAGTCAGGGACTGGATCTGTTTTTAAAAAAAGAAAAGGATAAAGAAGTAAGTGGGTGGGGGGGCCTGTGTCCCCTTTGTCAACTCTGCACCATGAAGACTCCCCCGTGATGGGAGGCCCAGCAGAGCCTGTGGTCCTAATGTTTATCAGTCAGGGTGCTGCAAAAACCTGGGTGACACTCACCTAGAGATGGGAAGAAGACATCTCCAGGGCCTGGAGGAGTCAGAGGTGTGCTGGGGTCAGAGAGCAGATAACGTCCTGACTCCGAAGGTTGCCGCTGGGCCACATAGGACAGTGGGGGCCTGGTCTTTGCTTCAGGCATCCCCTGGAAGGGTGGAGTGGTCTCAAAGCCTGGGTTTTCGATACCTTGGGTGTTGCTGCTAGAGAAGCAGAATTAGGGGGTAATTAGTGTCACTCAGAGCACTTCTATCCTTCCTGCCTCCCCTTTCTTCTCCGCTCTCCCCAGCTGGGACAAGGGCAGCCTATGAAAGCCTTCCACCTCAGAGGTTCTAGTGGGATCTCTGGTAGGACTTCCTTTGACGTATCGGAGATGCTGTCTCCTTTAGACACATTGTAGGACAGGGACCAAGCTTCCAGAGGTGACTAATTTCTGAGCCCATCCAAGCTAGCCCATGCCCAAGTACAGATGACATAACATTATCATGCCTACCCAGAGCAGCCATTGGCTTGTTCATACCTGCTCAGCCTGACAACTTTCTCTTGGAATGCCTGGTGCAGCTGAACCATCCACCATGCATTGGGCTGGGGCCAGGTTATGAGCTCCCTCTGCATGTTGTAATGTCTGCCCAAGCCTGCTACGTCCACTCCTGCCTATCCTAAGCCCGGGTGGCCACTGAGACCCAAAGGGCCCACTAAAGCACTTCCAAACAGAATCAGGGCCTAGCAGGGGTGGAGGTGATGCACAGAGCAGCCCACCAGCCCAGATGTGCCAGATGCAGCTCTGACCAGCTGTACCATGCTGAGCAGGGGCCCCACGTCACACAGAAGCACCCTTTCCCTGATACCTGGTTCCAGAAAGATTCTCAAAGTCACTGTGGGCCTTACCTGTCCATCCTCACCAACTCCTGGGCACCTACAGATAGACAGAAAAGCTGGTCTCAGGAAGGAAGCCTTCTGCAGGGCCCACCCCCTGCACCCAGAGCATGCCCAGGAGCCTGTATTGTTCCACGTGTCTGTCCAGCGCAGCCACCTTTGTATACAAGTAAAATATGTCTGCATTTTCCACATGATGTTTGGCCCAGGCTCACACTTCCCCAGAAGTCTGACTGTCAGAATCTAAGTTTCAAGCAAAGGCCGAGTCCCTGCATGTGCTGACGATTGCTTTCTATCGGGCAGTTTGCCTCTCTGGTCTTTAGCCACAGCTTGTTGGGTAGAGGGTTCTGAGATTAGAAGGTCCGCTCTCCCCTCAATCTCCCCATTGCTTCCCAGCCTCTCTACCATTTTCTCCCCCACAAGCCACTACCACTTCACCCCATCCTTGGGGTCCTCCTAAAACTGGCCATCACCCAGATGCAAGAACACCAACTTCCCTCTTTCTTGCAGCTCCCCACACCCTCCCAGAGATCCTTCTTACAGGAGGAGGTTTACATGGGGAAATGGGCTAGGGGAGGGGTATCTGCAAGACAAACACAGGGAAGTTGCACAAAGTTCCTGAAATCTAGGTCACTTCTGCTGACAGAGTGACTCTGTGTCAGGCTGCATGGGCCAAGCTCATCCTTGCCACCTTGCTCTGGGATAAAGAGTGACCTCCACTTTAGGGCTGGGGATGCTGAGCTGCCTGTTCTTTTCTTTTGTCCCGAACATGCTCTTCCCCAGGTAACCCAGTCTCCAGCCCAGGACTAGGGAGCTTTCTGCCCCTAGGGTGCACGGCCCCATGAGCTAACCAACCACTGACCTGCTGTAGTCAGAGTGCTAAGACTTGCTGTTTGCTTTGGCTCCCAACACCCTACAGCTGCCACTCTGGGGTCTGTAGGGATCAGTCACTCCTCAAGCGGCACTGCCTATCCTTTGGAGCTTTGTTTTTCTAAGCATCGACACTTCTGACATGTGTTTCTGTTGCTAAGTCTGAAATCACAGACTGGATTTGGAGGCTTTGATTTGGAGGCAGAGGAGAGACTCTTGAAAGCATTTGCTTTAGAAGATAATTTTGTTTGGTTGGTTTTATGTTTGTTTTGGTTTTTGTTTTGTCGAGAGTGGGTCTCACTAAGTAGTTCTGGCTGCCCTGAAACTCACTATGTAGACCAGGCTAGCCTCAAACTTACAGGGATCTGCCCTGCCTCTGCCTCTGGAGGGTTGGGATTAAAGACCTGAGCTAGAAAATAAATTATTGTTCCCCTTCCTGCTATTGTACATGGGACATTCTTACTCTGGGACAGTAGCATGCTACAGGATAAGGTTATTCTCACAGGCACTCAACATGGCATGAAGTGTAGCACATTCCAGCCCATTGTCACCCCAGGGCTCTTCTCTAAGTCCAGGTCACAGGCTTTCCCGAGGCAAATGGGAAGTTTGGAGCCAGTGTTTAGACTGAAGGTGTATGGAACTGGGGCCTGTGTCTTCAGAACCCCACACAAATGGCATTCTGTCCTGGTGACACTCTCTCTCTCTCTCTCTCTCTCTCTCTCTTTCTCTCTCTCTCCCTTTCCTCCTTCCCTCTCTCCTTCTCTCTCTCCCTCTCCTCTCTTCCTTTAGCCATCTCTATCCCATTAGGTCCCATGAGCAGAATGAGAACCCTGTGGATGCCTTGCAAGAAAGGCCGGGCCCAAAAAAGGCTGAGTGAAGCCCTCTACACACTTGTAGCCACTACCCTGGAAGGGTCTGCTTTCCATTTCTTGTCCCCTGATCTGACCATGTGACCATCTGACCACATGATCAGGCAGTGCTGTGGTCTGGGCAAAGGGAAGAGAAAACAGAAAGCACCTGGGAATCCATCTGGAACCTAGCCTAGCTGGGTATCTCCCCCACCCCATCCCCTCAGCCATTTCTCCCCTGGCAGAGCCCTGGGTTCCTCCTTCACTCTAGTCTGTCACGTGCTCCACACTGCCACTTTCGGGATGCCCACGGGCAGGCTGTAGTAGGGTTACAACTGGAAGAAACAGTCTGAGAGGAAGGGAGAGGCGGCCACAGCCCACAGTGGCCCTCTGTGGGCCTCCAGGAAAGAGGGTAGGGGGATGGCAGGGTGATTGAGAGGTGAAGGGGAGGGCAGAGGAAATCTGATGTGAGCTGGTGACAATAGTCTTCCCTCAATCCCCTTCTGCAGCTAGGCAGAGGAAAGAGGCCAGGGAGGAACTGTAAGAACAGAGAACTCCCTACCATTGGGCTCCCACCCCTCAAAGAGCAAGGCTCATAGGAGAGGCTGGGACAGACAGGAGGCATGGTCACTCAGAAAAGAAATGGGATTGGTGTTTATGGCCATGAACTTGAAGCCTGGCCCCACTGTTCATTTGCAGTGTGTTTTGTTAGGCAAGTCAGCGAACCCTCCTTAGCCTCGGTTTGTCCATCTGCAAAATGAGTACAGCAATGTCCCCTGTTTGGGTTGTTGTGGTGACTAAGTGAAGCACAGATGTGACACCTTGGCACAGTGCCTGGTAAGGTAACCCCACCGGCTGGGGGCCACCTCAGTTCTGCACTCACAACGCCTTATGACATTCAGTTAGTTAACTTGCAGAGCCTGAGTTTTGTCTGTGAAAGGACAGGGACAACTGAAGCCAGAGCTAAAAGCGCTGCTATTTCTGACATCCCAAAACTTGTTTCTGTCCCAGCTCATTACAAAACAAACACACCCATAGGCTCAAGCAGGTCTCTAAGAGACCCCTGAGTGGCAGCATCCTTATAAACCAGTTTGAGCTAGTCCCACCCATTCTGTGTGGTAACCTACTCATTCATATGGAGTGCCAAACCAGCCCAGCCTGAGCACTGAAGCAGCTGGTAGACATCAAGCCCAGAGAAAGGCACATCTAGGTCCCCTTCCCTCTCATCAGTCACAGTCAAAGCCTTGCAGGGATGCAGAAGAATGGGAAAGGACTGTGCAGCCCTCATGTCCCATGCCATCCCTGGCCTCACAGTCAGGAAACCCCATTACCATCCTGGCAAAAGGTACTTACGGCGGTGAGAGGCCACCTGCCTCTGCTTATAGACCAGCAGCAGGATAAGTGGGAGGCAGAGGATTCCCACGATGCAGGCGCCCGTGGCCAGGGCAGCAGCCGTGATGCCTAGAAGGAAAAAACGACTGACATGAGGGTCCCCTTCCCACCACTTCTCCTGAAGAGAAATGGAGACACAGAATGACCCCAGAGGTGCTCACATTCTATCAGATTGGAGAAGGGAACTGGACAGGAATGGACTCTACATAGCGTTTATGGGAAGGTTCCCAAGGTCTGTAGGAACAAGTTCTGGAGGTATGAATGTGGACCTAGCTGCCCCCAGAGGCCAGCCTGACTACAATTCCCCTTAATCCAAGGTGGCACCCATTGCAGAAAAATCTTATTCGCCATCTGGTGCCAGGCTCTTCCTGGGAAGGTGATGAGATACTGGTGTAAGAAGGTGCCAAAACCACCCCATGGCACATGCCAGGCCCTTTCAGAGCAGGTAGGATGGGAAACTCAGATATTAGGACCCAGATCCAGACCCTTAGAGACTTGAAGAGGCTTTGAAGAGGGAAGTCTAGTGACCTCCTTTCAGAGACAGCCTATGTCCCCCACCCCATGGAATACAGGGAAATGAGGACTGTTGCCCATGACAGAGGCAGCACCAAAGAAGAGTGAGCAAACTGCTCATTACGCCTACAAGGGAAAGCTAAACCACCCTGGACCTCAGGTTGTCCACCAAAAGGCCCTTCCCACCAGATGCCAGAGTTCAAGGTCCAAAGGAGCCCAAGTGATGCAAACAAATTAGAACCACAGTGTTGCACAACGGCGAGGATGTGATTTCTTGCATGCCACTGGCATTTGCTTCTAAAGATGGATGTTTTACTACAATGAAAACAAAATATTCCAGCCTCACCAGGCATGATAGGACAAGTCTTTAATACCAGCATGCAGGAGGCAGAGGGAGGGGGAAAGGCAGGGGCAGGTAGATCTCTGTGAGTTCAAGTCCAGCTTGATGTATATAGTGAGTTCTAGCACATCCAGGACTTACATAGAGAGACCCTGTCTCAAAAAATAAAAACAAACCCTAGCCATCCTTTGAGGGAATTCTTGATCTTTCTAGGGTGAGGCCCCTGGAAACTTGACCTCTTAAACACAGACATGCATACTCATGCACACACAACACACACACACACACACACACACAGAGAGAGAGAGA